ACGAATAAATTATGATGAATTTGATCTAATTATCCAAGTATCTTTGTTTTTTTTTTTGGTATTAATAATTACCCAAATATCACGAATGAAATGAAAATGCAACTAAAAATATTAAAATAAATGATGCTAGGATATAAACATAATAACTTAGTGAATGATGTTCTTGGAAGAGCAATTTCATCATTAAAAAAATGACTTAAACTACTTGAAATATTTCAAGATGATTATAAAATTAAAACTTCAGTACAAGAAAACTCAATTTCACCAACATATCACCGACGTAAGAATTTTTCTCGATGAAGCATCATTTTACTGACAAGAAATAAATCTACAAATCCAGAAACAGTAGAAATAGCAGTAATATATATTATTTATCATTCAGACGAAATATTTGTCAGTAAACTAACATAATACATACGTGTTTCTTGTTGGTAATTGCAACCAATACTTAGTCCGGTGGGAGGCGGACGGAAACGCAAATCACCGACGAAGAGGAGGCCTATAAATTCATTTTGGAAATGTGAGTCTTCTCGGTAATACCAACCTAAATTTGCCAACGTACGTCTTCTCGGTAATTCCCACTCCCAACCCAACCCCGCAATCAGTTGGCTGCCTGTGTCAAGAAATGCAGCTTTTTAATGCAATATTCCGACATCGTCCTTGTCGATAATTTCCCATTTCCCAACTCCCAGTGAATCCGGTTGTTGGTGCCTAGTGTTTCAGCTTTTATTTAGCTTATCGACAAGGTTTGGGTCGGTAAGGTATATTTTCCCAACTAGATCTTTGTCGGCGATTGGCCCGATCAACGAGAATTCTGATGCAACGTAGAGATGATCAGCTTTAGATTGCAACAATGTGGATCTCGTCGGTAAGAGTCCCTATTGCCTATCGAACTGCCCTTCTCCTTTCATTTTGGTCTTTCTCCTTTCATTTTCCTCTTCTGTCCGTGAGTTGTTCTTGCTCTCTTTTCCTCCATTCTTTCCTTTGAATCACTTTAACATTTTTCTTTTTATAGTGTAGTGGATCAAGCAGTGGTAAGTGAAATTTAAGTAATTTAAGTAATATTATTATTTTTTATATATTTTATGTATATTTTATTTTTTTTTGAAATTTAAACCATCAAATATTGTTATTAATTAGTTCAATAGATATTAGTTAATATTATTAGATTTTCTTTTAAATAAATTTGATGAATAGTTATGAATAATGTTTTAATAAGTTTTTAGTGAAATTTCAACCATTAATGACAAAATTTTTATATTAAATATTTGATATTAGCTAGCATTTTCAGATTTGTTGTTTTAAGTATATTTTAGGGTGAATATATATGATTTTTGTGCATTTTGAAGGTTTTACGCAAATTTTCATGTCTTACCGTTTTCTGCATTTCTTATCTTTTAATTAACTATAAAACATTGTATTTTTCATAGTTGAAG